CTAGACAAAAACATTGTATAAAACCATTATAGGCCGATGCTTTTATCAGACAACCATAATCAGCAGCTCTGGGATCTTCCAGCACTTCAGGGCTAATTTCTACGTCACTGTTGAGTAAATTCCATGGCATGGATAACCTAAATTATTTGGAAGATTAGACTGCAGGAAGCATAGCAAATATTACTTAAAGCCTTTTTAAAGCTGCTGTACAAAGTGCACTATAGTGATAAAATAGAGCAATACCTAATTAATATGCACAAAAAAGCCCTATAAACAATTTTAACCCCTTCCTTTCCACTGATTCTTAAGGGTCATGTGAACAGAACATGCCGCATTCAGCAAAGCAGAAACATATCTTGGTTATGAAGCTGCTAGGAGTGCAAGTCTCTTACAGAGGAAACTACCCATAAACACAGTGAGAGATGAGGCTTCCCCATTCAAAACTATGGTTTTTCTTCTTATTACTCTGATGTTGGCAACCCTCTACCAGCTCACCCAGCTCTCTTAGCACTGAGCTCCTTATCTCAAGTTCTCTCTCTGTTTACTTCCCTTGCCTGTGCATATGAACTTTTTTCTCTCTTCTGGATTACAGGAACCAAGAATTTTTACTGTAGGGAAAGCCTCTGAACATGATATGCCCTACTGCTTCATCTCATATGTGCTCCCTGCTTCTTCCCATCACTCTACCATTTTCTGCCCTCCACATGGTTGTTCCACAAGGTAACGACACGTGCTTGATGTATGGGCCAGCCCACTCATCAAAAGTCCACGCTGCCTTCAGGGAGGTCCTCATGCACTCTCAGATCTCTCTGTTGTTCTTTCAGAAAGGACGCTCATTTAATGAAAGCAGCACGTACTGCTGAAGACCACAACTCCATGATGATGCCTGTGTCACCCCAGAGCCAGGGGTGACCTGATAGTGTGAGAAAACCAGGCTAAATCTGCAGAAGATGATTTTATGAGCACAAAGTTACAGAGAACTGCTGACAAGAAGCCAATACAGCTCAGGCACTTTCCTGGACTATTTAGACAAATGGTCCACACAATATAGTTCCACTGGCAGCTCCGTGAGTAGTCGGGTAGCAGGAGGCAAGTGCAGCATCCATATATTCACAGGTACATGTAATGTACACAAAAATATATAATAAGCATCAGCAGCCTTCATTAGAGCGCACCCAAGAATTATGGAGATCCCAACCTTGCAAGCCAAATAAATTATTGCCAGAGGATTATTATGTATTCTAACAATATCTAATGTACCTCTTTGTCTCTCATAAATTACAGGGCATCCTCTGACTCCTGGAATACACTCTGCCTCATGTACAGCCACTATGTAGTCTTTTTTTCCTCTAAATACACACAATAGAAACTCTAATCAGCATGGTCTTGCCTAGGGATTTTAATAGCCGAGAAAAAGGTACTTGTAGTCACACGTTCACTGCCCTGGTGTAACTATTTCAATCACCAAAGCAAATGACCACAATTTAAATGTGCTGATAAAGGGGAAGCTCATTTGCAGTGTGTATGTAAGAATATCATTATTAGCTACACACACATCTCTGTTCACTGTGCCACGGGAATTTTACCACTGTACAAAGTATCTCCATCCACTGCAAACTGTAACAGAGTCTCCACAATCATTTTGACTTTCTGCCTTTCAGTCCAAAAATTGGCAATAACACAATGCTTCTGCATTGACTTGCCCAATGTGGACTTAACGATGACTCTCAATAGCGGGTCATCGAACTCAGTTCACTTCAGCAACCACCCCAGAAAAAAATCCCTTATATTTTAACACCTTACACTCACAACTGATCAGCACCCAGCAAATCTCAGCCCTGGTGTTTATTTGCATCAATAAATAGTTGAACCTCAGGTGATCTTGAAATTAGCAGAACTTGGTGCTTTTGCCCATACTGGAATTGGCTGATTACTGTTTCCCAGCAGATTTATCCAGACATTAGATACCTGCTTCAAGACTGTTAAATGTCTGGATATATCAAAAAGCACCACAGATTCAGGAAGTTCTGTACTTCAGAACCAGCTCCTTTATTGTCCATTTCTGCTGGGAAAGACATGAAGAATGCATTTGCTTGCTGAACTGCAGAGAAAGCTAAAATTACTTTTAAATGTCCCATTTCATTTACAAGGCCATAAGGACAGTTGTTTTGCATTATTTTCCCAAATTCTTTCGGTTTCAGGTTCCTTTTACCACTTACACTGTCGTATACACACACACACACACACGCACACACTCACATTCTCCTTTAACATGAAGAGTCCAAGAAGGAAACTGTGCATAAGCTGGGCTGTATTTTTAATATACATTAACAAGATGACAGACACCCTGAGTAGCCTGGTCAGGGAAAGCAAATGAAGACAAGAAATATTCTCAGAGTGTTATTGATTAACTGTTTTTCAGAACAGAGGGAATCATTTTTAACTGGTTTCAACTATGATGGACTCAAGTGGAAAATGCAAGCAGAGTTAGCAAGGAGCATAATTGACTGGGCATGGAACTAAGTAACCTCTCAGCACGCTGGAAGTGGTGGAGCCAGGGGGGTTACAACCAGGGCTGCTCCAGACCCAGAGCCCTTTCTTCCCAAAGTGAACTCTGCCAGCAGCCAAAGACGGCAATGACAACAAGTAAAGGGAGGGGAAAAAAAAGGAGGAGAGAAAAAAAGGTCCAGCCACTCAGTTACATGATCTAAATTCTAATCAAACATCATTTAAAGCATGTTTTATTTCAGCCTCTGGAGAGATAGTCCCTCCTGACTCCTCACCATGGCAACCGGTGTCTCATTTCAGAAGTGTCATGCCACATTATCATCTTACCGGCTCACACACTCCTGCCTGACAAGTTCTCTCTGCCCCTTGTGACAACCGTTCCAGGCTTATGCTGTTTATTTTTGGTGTCAGGCTGGCCCTGGCAGATTGAAAGGCAACCTCAACCCCTTGAACAACAAGCACCACACCCCACTTGGTGATAAGAGATGATTTGAGAAGATATTTGCTTACATGTGTATAAGCAATTTGCTGTATGATGAAGCCCCAGTGTGTTTGTGTGAATGCATGCCTATGTGTATGTGTGCAAAGGGGAAGGAAATGGAGAAGCGTGACGTTCCAGGAGAAAGCAAACAATTCATTTCAGATCCCAGGTAGTAGATTTTAATCATCAGATCCTGTAATTCACACAGAACAGTATGAAATATAGGCTAAAAAGGCATCCTAGGTACTCTATCCTAAGAGACATGAATGCGAAGCCAGACATTGTCTCTGCAAAATACCCTCACTGCGTCCCTGCAGAGGGGCTGTGAGACGCAGCAGCAAAGGCACTCCATGGAAGGAATGGGGACAAAATGTGGTATTAATTGCTAAAGGAACACACCAGAGAGACGCTCTGGGCCAGATTCATCTCTGCTGTTTTAGTGTCAATTTGGAGCAACATCACTACTGCCAGTGAATTTACCTGGGATCATCAGCAATGCGAATTACAGAATCTCTACTCACCTTCAAGTAACAGATTCTCTTCAGCACAGCCAAGACTTTCTTTTAACTGTGTGTTTTCTGCAGCCTCTACATAGGTAGGGCTAAGCCTGCAGCTGGGCTTCTTCATGTAAACACAGCCATAATGCTGATACTCAGTAGGTATTACATTTACATTTAATAGTAAACATAAGAGCAGTATTTCTGACATCCATTTGACTGTTGAGACAGTGGTAGTAAAGCAGCAGTTCTTTCCATTCAAGAGACACAGAATTAGGAACAGTTTCCTACCTTCCCATCCAAGCAGGTAGAGAACAAACTGTTTTTGGATTAATTGTGCTGTTGTTACCTATCATCAAGCCTGGGGGGGAAGCCCCAGGCTGTCAGATATGATATCTAGGTAGCAACACCACAAAAAAGAAATTAAGAAATAGGTGTCGGCAGTAAAGACATCAGCACAGATTTCATATTTACTGTTCAGACCAGTTTCAATAGCCCATGAGAGAAGATGGGTGAGGATCCACTCTGAACAATGCACTACACAAAGGGAAAGTCCCTCTCAGGTAAAAAGGGAAGGAGTCATGAATAGTGATTTTACTTTTTTCCACACAAGTTGTAACTATGCTGGGACACTTGGAACCTTGGTCTTACTTTAATCAGTAACTGATTTCCCAGTTATCATTTTCATGGACAATAACCACTTTTACTATTTCTAACCAAATTAAATGAATGTCATTTTCACACCAGCCACACAAACCCAGCACAATATCTGACTGTGATGGGTCATTCAACACCATCACAGTCACCAGGAACATCATTATCATAGTATTTGTATATTTTTCCAGAGAGAGCCAAAGGAGTAACTTAGAACACTGAGAAATCAGCCAGTTGGGAACACTTGGGAACATTTTACTTAAAAGGAGAAAAGCAGCATTAAATGCAATATGTGTGACATAGAGCTTATATATTTCAGGTCATCTACAGACACTGGAGTTCCCATTCGCATATTTCATGGAGACAACAGAGCATCTTCCTCTGATAAGCAGCCAAAAAGGGCTGATTTCTGGGAACTTCATTGTGATTTCACACAAGTGATTCAGAAGCTGGTTACTGACAAATACAGTTGCTGCAGCGATCTCTTTTTCTGCTTAACACAGGTCATCAAACGTCTGCGCTGTTTTCTCTGTGGCTATGTCTATCCCAACAGAGAGCAGAACTCTTCTAGTAAAGATCACCAGGCTATGGGTAGTACCTACAGCTGCTGATGGAAGACTGATTCTGAAGTCAGTCCACACAATGGGACAATATAAAAATAAAACAACATCTGTTCAAAACAGCCATCATGAGGACACAAAATTATGGGCTCAAGAGACAAAGCAGCTGGACAGGGACCCTGGTGAGAACAGCCCTGTTAATGCCAAGTGGAAGGATATCAAATAGTTCATAATTACTTTGGCAGTGATAAGTGTTTTGGGCAAAGCTGGTATGAGCCATGCCTCCCAAATTGTTCTTACCTTTTCAAAGCTGTGTGCTGAGAAAGGAGACCGTGATGGAAGAGACTAACATCGGAGAAGGTTAGAAGAGGAACAATCTGAAGCCTGGCACAGCACTGCAAAACAAGGTGCAAGAGCATTTAGAAGAGAGATGAGTGTGGTTTACATGGATCGCAATGTAAATAAAACTTGACCCAGTTATCTCAGAGAAAGAATCAGAGACTGGGCAAAGCCACACAATAAACTCAGATGCAATCTTTGATTAAATAAGGAGCTAATTGGAGAACAGCTTTCAGTAAAAACAAACAAAGCAATATGTTCATTTAATTTTTAATCCATTTTCTGGTAATTGTACCACAGAAAGACAGAGGTTTACAATATCTGTAAACAAAATACGATCATCCCAAGACACACTAACGGCATTTTACAGAGTTTGTAAGAGCAGAGTGTGTACATTTTTAAAACCATAAAATGAGGAGAATTAGCACTGATTATGGAGCAGCAATGAAACTCCCGTGCTGCAAGTCCCATAAAAAGCTATAAACACAGCAAATGCTACAGGAGGTCTTTCCAGAAAAAAAAAGGAAGACAAGGGGAATATTTCACAGTGCAGATATAGCATCCAGGGAAGGAACAGAGGAAGGAAGGGATGTCTGGACGGCTGCACTAAGCACGGGCTCAATTCTGCCCCCAGCTGCAAACCTGCAGCACCTCACCAGCTAAGATTCCTCCATTTCCATATCAAACACAAGCATGTACCTAGAGGCAGAATTTAACCTGCTCCATCAAACAATGCACAGCTAACAGAGATGGCCACCCACTGTAGCAAAACATCACACTGCCCAGCCACCTTGTTTTACAGGAAACATACAGTATAGATGTAAATCAGCAGTCTTTTTTTTTTTATCCTGAAAGTGCCTGGGAACCTCTACTCAAAATTGCATGCACAGTCAGGTGTAAAAATATGTATACATGTGCACGTGTTGCTATTAACACATAATCCAGCCTCGGAGACTTCCATTCCCAAATGCCCTAGGGAATAACTACCTACTCCTTCAAAGGTGCAAAAATCCACCTTGCATAATGATGAACTGTCATGTTGTCTGTGTGGTCCATCTATTCCTCTCTGCCCACAGGTCTTCCTCACACCAGTACATGCTCTTTATACTCCATTAAAGCAAATCACTGGTGTTCTTCAGCAAACAATGTCCCAGGAAAGGACTCAAGGACTGGCAGGAATTCAGCTTTGGCAAGCAAATCCTGTATTTTTGTCTTGTATTTGCAGTTGCTCAGGCATATCTATATTTCCATCTGTACACCTGTCTTCATAAAAACCTAACTGCAACAAAATAAATGAGAATAATTCTGCTGTTTCTGTGTTTCCGGTATGTTCCACCAGCAAGTGGGTAATAAACCAGTAAACTCTCTAAAGGAGACATTACCAATCCAGGCCATGCAAACAAACACTTCACCATTTTATAATCTCACATGTCGGATGAACATCATCGTTCCCTTTGGTGCCTTAAAATATCAGGTCCATAAAATTACTAAAAGGCAGAGCTGTAAGCTCTGCCTAATGCTAGGAACATCTAGAATAGACACAAAAGCTGACAGTGCTTTTGTTTCCCACAAAATCCTCTCCTCTCCCCAGACCCAAGTGATGGTCCCTTTACAGTCTCCCTAAATAAACACCCAAGTTTTGATTTCTCACATTTGCTATGTCAGTTCTTCTCTTTTCCCCCGCCTTAAAGTGTAAGACTGCATAAGGTATCTGTGACTCCATTCCCCTCTTGGCTACCCACAAAGATAGAATCACACTTGCCTCTGAGAAATAATGTTCATTTGCAAGTGAGTCTGAAGCCTCCAAGCTATGTCTGTATCATCTTCACTCATTTGTGGCTTTGCATTTGCAGACCAGGTGTTTGCTGTGTGAAATGCTTGCAGAGGCAACGGGGGAGCGAGACCCATCTTGTACTTGAGCTTCCCTGGAACAAAAGCTGGCTGGAAGCTGGAGTTGGTCCCTCTGTGCTGTGGAAGCAGTATGCTCAGAGCAAGGACTTGATGGCCAGATGCAACCTGAAGCCACCCAGTGTGGATGCAGTTCCAGCTCCTGCCCATCTGCAATAAGAAGATACCAGCACTTCTTTACTGTTTAATTCTTGTTTAGAATGACTTTAGAATTACAAACTTCTCAGGAGCACTGCGAGGCTAAACAAGAAATACTGTGAGACACTGAACATGGGAATTAGAGTGAGTAAACTCCTGGTCTGTCCATTGCCAAAGTAGTACACATAGTGTGGCAGATGCTGACACAGAGAAAGTGGCTTTTCCAGGAAATGGAGAGGGTTTTCCAGCTTTATCCTAGTAAGAAAACCACTCCTGGACCAACTTCCCAGATAAAAACCCCAAATGAACCCATGAGCGTGGCTGCGAGGGGTCCTCCTTAGCTCCCAAGGCCAGGTTTACGACAAGGTTATAATTTTGCAGACTAATAAGATCAAGCTGGTGGCAAAAGAGGGCGGAGGGAGCGGAAATAAAGTCAGAGCTTTGGGAAGAGGAGGAAGGAGGCTGGTGAAAATGCTGATATTTACTTACTGTAAACGTCGAGCCTATAAAACCTTCCCTCACCCAGCAGCCTAAAGTGCCAGGCAGACAACAACAACAGCATGCTTGAATGAAGTTGTATATTGTTTTGTGAGAGCGGCGGCTCACAGCAGAACAGAGGCTAATAACAACCGCAGTTTTCTGGGTGTAAGTCACAGGAGCACACCAACACTTGCTGCTGGCATTCAGCCTGGCAAAGCAATTGCTGCAGCACCAGGGCTCCTATTTACACCAACACAGCATCTCTGAGTCTGTTTGCTGTTGGGTTTTTTGGGGTGTTTTCAAACCCAAGTGAAAAGGGGCTGAATTTCTGGGGGCTGCCTGATCAACACCACATGTGCCTGCTCCCGAGACAAAGGAATTCAACCTGCAAAGAAACAGCTTCAAAGGAAGCTGAGGCATGTTTAGATGCATTCCTTGCAAGGCTCTGCCTGGCAAAGCCACCAGGGATTGCCGGGATTCCAGAGCAAAACTTCTGCTATACATAAAGACACTTACGTGGGGGGATAAGTTTGGTCAGATGTCCCCACTGTCTTTCTGGTACATGGAAAACGGGAGGTCAAAATCCCCCGGTCAGGATCCCTCTGTCTGGAGCAGCCACCAAAGTCCTGTGGTGGAGACCCAAGGTGACGACCGCCATGCCACTGCTCCTCCGGCCCCCGTCAAGGCCCGGCTCCGAAGTGCTGCCGGGGAAAGCCACGTTCGCAGCGGCTTCTTCGTTAATGGTTGTTTTTATTTATTTAATGAGGTGTGGAGCAGCCTCTAGCGGCGGGCGGAGGGCACCGGCTCCCCCACAGCCCGCCTGAGGCGCGGCGGGCACCGGCTCCCCCACAGCCCGGCTGAGGCGCGGCGGGCGCTTTCCCGCCCAAAAGCTACCTCAGGGGGCGGCCTTGCCCAGCCGCCATGTTCACACACCGCCTCACAGCACCCCGTTCCCCTTATGGCCACCAAGTGATGATCCCCCTGCAAAGTCACCTTCCACCCGGGGCTTTACCTGAGGAAGATGCACGCAGAAGCTGAGCCATGTTTAGCCTCCTTTACTGTGAGGCCATGCTGGTCCAAAGAGGAGCTGTCAGCAATGGGGTGCAGTTACGCAGCTGTCCCACAGATGTTAGTATCTGGTCCAAGCCCACAGTGGAGTGAAGCACATTCCACAGGTTGATGTTTAAGAGTTCGAGTTTGGACACAGGGGCTTGGAGCACCCTGCTCTGGTGGAAGGTATCCATGCCTGTGGCAGGGGCTTGGAACTGGATGAGCTTTAAGGTCCCTTCCAATCTCAACCATTCTGGGATTCAAGGATTCTTCTTGTTTTCCTTATTTCCTTCTCTCTGAGGCACAAATGCAGTTAAATTAAAAGGTGGATACAAGTCAGTCCTGGATAACAGGAATCCAGTGGGCAGCACAGCCGGGGCAGATGTCTCCTCACCCAACATGGCTGCCTGAGGCGGCTGCGTGCTCCCTCACGAGCAGCACACTTGGCGTGAGGCGGCTCTGGTTCAGTTTCCTCTTCATTTACGCCCCTCAAACCCACCCAGAAGCACTGGAGCTCAGAGGAAGGCCCCAAAAGCCTCCAGTCCTCCCCAGCCCAGCAGCCGCTCACCCGCTCCTGTCCCTGCTGCTTCCTGAAGTGCTTCTGGAGCGGGTTCATCCATGGAAACGTTACCGAGTCTGGTGGCAGAAGGCAGAAGACAGGCCAGGTATGGGATGCAGCAGCTTGTCTGAGGTGACCAGCGAGACACACAGCTCTCAAGGCTGGTTGTAGGTAAGAACCCAGGCTCCCATTTTGTTCTGGGGGAGAAAACCCGGCAGTTTTCCCAACCCAAAAACGTGAGTTTCAATAGGCAAAGCCCTTCCTGTAGTCCCTGTTACCTGCTTACTGTAGACAATGAGTGCTTTAAAGCTGTTTGGGTACAAAATAAACGGTCACCAGACAGAACCAAAACAATGCTGGTTTCCCCCAAAACACAAGAGCAGTTTCCTCCTGGTTCACCATTGGAAAGTCAGACACAGCATGGCTGATTGTAGCTGTTTAGCTTGCACTTACCTACTTCAGGGGTGCTTGAATTAATTAGGAGTGCATGAATCAGAAGTCTTCCATTGGAACCTGGTGCAGAGACGTGCCTGAGCAGTGCTTGGATTGAACTTGTGCTCATCTGCAGCCAGACCAGGCACCCTCAAACCCTTGTACCATTTGTCCCTTTGTCTCTGCTGTAGGGATGCTGGGGAGGGACTCTTCATTAGGGACTGTAGTGACAGGACAAGGGGTAACGGGTTAAAATTTAAACAGGCGAAGTTTAGATTGGATATAAGGAAGAAGTTCTCTACTGTCAGGGTGCTGAGGCACTGGAATGGGTTGCCCAGGGAGGCTGTGAATGCTCCATCCCTGGCAGTGTTCGAGGCCAGGTTGGACGAAGCCTTGGGTGAGATGGTTTAGTGTGAGGTGTCCCTGCCCATGGCAGGGGGGTTGGAACTGGATGATCTTAAGGTCCTTTCCAGCCCTAACCATTCTATGATTCTATGATTGCGCTTCCTTTGGTTAAATTCACCTCAGCACCCACTTTATCTTGTGTCCTGAAGTCCTTTCACATCATGCTTCCTCACAGCCAGCACACGGGCATCCTCACAAGTAGCTCAGCTGCAAGGACCCGCCAGCCCAGTGCTCAAATTCCATGGCCCACACTCATCACTTCTACTCCAGATTACACTTCTTGACTGTGTTATACCCAACCTTTCCTGCCACTGCACAAGTTATATCTGTTGGCTTTCCCTGCCCTCTGATTTGCATTCATTCCTCAGAAAGCCGCTGTCAGTTTTCTTTTCCCCTTATTGGCACAGCTTCCAATCTGTGAATCCTTGATGGCTTTCCTTAATTAAACTCATAACTTCTCCTAACTATTTCCCCACTGCAACCCCAGATTAAAGGCCCACTTTGGCCTCCTGGCCATGCAAGGTACCTGCCTCTGTACCACCACCTTTCATTTCCGGAAGGCTTCTTGGGACCTCTGGGCTTGACACTTGCAGGAACCTCTCCATTACTGGGCTCCAAAGAGGTTCTCATTTCCCTCCACAGATCTGTCATGCGTTTTGCTGACTCAGCTCAAAACCCTGGAAGGGGTTGACAAGGACCACATGCTTTCAGGGTCTTTTTAACACTCTTAACTTCTCCATCACCTCTGCTCGGTTTCCTTCAATATTTCTTCTTTATGCAAAAGGAAATTTATCTTTCACTCTGGCATGTGCCCTGCCTCCTGCCTTTGTGAACATGAAGGCAAAACTGGAAGGGATTTTTCTGTCTTTTTAGGTTTTTTTCTTACGCAGTGTCTATCAATAACTCTCAGTGGCTTTTAGAGTCTTTCCATCGCTGATCTATTATTCCTTTGGCCCATGCAACGTTTCTTATTATTTATTAGAACCATTTTCACGGTCTTCCCTTCATTTCCCATAACGGCTCATCTTGTCACTTCTTTAGCTCCTTGCTTCATTCTGAATTTGTAGTTTCATGGACCACATGTTGGCACATCCTTGTTCCTCCACGCAAACAGGGCTCCAGGTGCCTCCAGGTAGGAAACCAGGAGCTTCAAGAGGGAGAATTCAAAGGGTGGCAAAACTCGGGCAATTTTGATTCTATGGATACACAGCACATGAAAGGGAAGGCTGCAAAGACCTTGTGTTGACTGTGAATGTCACCAGCCATCTTATACCAAGTGTATATATCACACTATAACATCATATATTGCCTTCTTGATACCTACCCTTGTATATTTTTCACTTCCTTCCATTTTATTCTGATTTTCTTCCAACTTTCTGCTTGTATTTCCCAAGAAGAAATTCGTCCCTTCAGTTTCCTGAAACTCAGTTTATTTTCTGCAATAGCAGTCACAGATTGTGGTCACTACCTCTAATCAGCATAATGTACCGACCAGAATGAAACCATAACCGTGATTTTTAGTTCATATATGAGGTACACTACAAGGGTTCTAAGAATCTGGAAACCTTCATAGTTAATGCTCCATCCATCTCAGCAGAGGAAAAGGTGCTGTTATCCTCCCCTGAATTTCCTTGCAGCTTATCTCTAGCTTTTAATAGCTGTGACCACCTTAACTCCTACAAAAGTAAGCGCTAAAAAGCCACAGCCCTGA